CTATTACGATAAAGGCCCAAGAAAAAAACGTTAATCGAAAACAGCGAGGACTTAATTCAGAACTCATCCGCACGAAAATCTTGCAGAAACAGGACTCCAGCGTTTGTTGCGACCACTGAGAACCGTCGTATCTTCCTACCTCTTTTTGAACAGGCGACTGATGTTTTGAAATACTTAACGATGGTGGTTAGCAGAAAGTAATGAACCCAGTACTTCCAAATAACCCTTGAGGATCCCAAAAGTAATATAGATATTTGGCTGATGTAGCGTTATTTACACATAATTCGATAGCGCACGCGAACGATCCTCAGTGGAAGTAGAGCTGCATATTTAATTGACTGCATTATTCGGTTATTTAGTTGTTCAGCAGCTTCATCAAAAAGGTCATTTCTCAACTGGAACTTTGAGTGATATCTGTTCCCTTCAAGAGTTGAGCAGGAATTTGAAGCCTAAACATCAGGTAAAAAAGCTCCTGTACATGCGATGGAGTCTCATCCTTTAATACCTAGTTTAACTTTGCCAATAGGAAGGAAATCCTTCTATATATTCCTAACACACGCTATAAGCAAAATTAGAAGTCCCGGTTTTATTTATCTGCATCAATCGACAGCAACTGTTTATGTGATTTATTATGCAAATTTATAAAATGAACGATAATGTGCATTTATGTGATGACTTTTGTGAAGCTACTCGTAATTGTGACATCTATGCAATGGCAAATTACTTGAGAAACGGCTTTGAGCTTGATTCTTATGACAGTTTTGGAAAACCGCCACTGCATTACGGTGTCTTAAGTGAGACGTTTTTTTTGTAACTCCCTAAGTACAAGTGCAGGTGGCAATTTGGAAGTTGTCAAGTTTCTCATCGCTAATGGAACAAGTATAGATATATGTGATGCGAATTGCACAACAGCTCTCCACCTAGCAGCTAGAGGTAGGCGAAACACTTCATAAACTGTTAGTTCAAAACGTTTCCATTTTGAAATTACTTCTGGCAAAGGGTGCAAACGTTAAGGCTGTTTGCAGGTCTGGTTGCCTACCAATCGACTTCGCAGATTTAAAAAGTAACCACTGGATTGTAAGTTTCAATCTTTTCAGAGAAATTATTTTGCTTTTACATAACCATGCAGTAAATATATCGATCCCGTCAGAAAGAGTGCCGTCGGTCTTGCACAAGGTCATAAAGAAATCAGTCAAAAATATGTATTTGTAGTCTATGCAATAACTTAAGTTATGAAATATCTCAAAGAAAAAGGCGTTCGTTTAAATAGAGTATGTGGCGTATCAACAGCACATAATTACGGTGAAATAAGTTAAAACGTAACAAATAAAAATTTATTTATAGGTTCACTAAACGTGAGATCCTCTTTAGAATCAGGTCACTGTAAAATACAAGAGTCTTGAGAACGTCTCAGGCTGCTGCCAATTAATAGTGACGGATGCACTTCTAAGAGGTTGGTAATCTAAAAATGCTCTGTGAATTTTGGGTAAAACCATACTGGTCTCAGAAAAGGCAATGTTGTTTGGTTGAATAGGTGTGTTGATCCTTGCAAACATTCTGCCGGCATATAATTCGCTGCCGCTACATGCAACTACTGGCTCAGCCGAAGGTGGAGTATTTGTGCAGACTAAGGCCCATAAGCCTTTTGCAAAAAAATAAATTTAAAGGGCCGATATAGGCTTACCTCAGTGGGTACAATCTTCCTTTTTTCCGAGAGTAGTCAATCTAAATTTTCCAAATTATCTTCACTTAAGTTTACTGGCAAGATTATACACTAACACAACACCACAGTCAGTTTCTTGACAATTTCTTGATCTGCCTTTATAATTGGCCTATAAAGAAAAACAGTTGTCTATCTCGATTAAATGCGTTCTCTGACATTTTAAATATAGTTGCTGCACAAAGCCGAACGCGGTCAACTGCCACCGCTTGAGGACTTATTACAAATCAGAGAATTGCTCATCATTCCAAAGACAGCACCGGAGCAAAGTGAAAAAGCGCCGAAAATCTTGAAAAGTGGGCGTTCTTCCATTCGCAAGAAGGGGAAGGGAAAGGGAAAAGGAAAGGGAGGAAAGAAGAAAAAGAAGAAGGGGAAATAACTTGGGCGTTTTACAATTTCCTTCTTATAATTGGGACTGTTTGGTCTTAAATTCGTTTACGGAGAATCAATCATGGGTTTAAAATGCTTTTACAACAATAAACTGGGATTCGTTTTTACTCAATTTCCTTGCATCGTGGATTACAAATAGTCTTTCTTTCATTCCCGCCCTCAAGGACTCTTTCGCAGTGTACGAAATGCACCGTTTTTATGCGATTAATTTGCCATGGATTGTAGGCTTTAAAGAGTCTGGGGAGTGTTTAGAAGAATTGCTCGGAATCCAGGTCAATATTTTGGTGATGCCTTGTTAACACTATTGATGGGGACTAAAACTATGACTCTTTAATGCACTGGTGGAGAATTTTTACTAGAGGTCCGTTTTTAAATACTACCTATCGAACAGTGTTCAGTCTCGTTGAGCAAATTTATCATCGGTTGTCCACCATTAATGTGGAAGATGTGCGGGATGTTTTTGTTAGCCTTGAAACTTCATTAAGAGATAAACTTAGACGAACAGCCTATCATCATTTTCTTTCGCATTACAATGTGTACTAGCATACTCTGTTATTGGTTAACTTTGCATTTTCACGGACCTTCTCTCCTCAAAAAACTAATAAAATAGTGATACATACTTTAATTTGGAAATTATGATTTTCTTGTGAATTATGTTGGATAACCACTCCTGTTGAATCTAGCCAGCTTTTATAAATGAACCAGATCATTGCACCTTCCACGCTAGCATCAGCCCTTTGCCTTATTTGTGCGCACGGGCGGAGGTTACCGTTTCTGATGCTTTTAATCGCATGACCACTGAAAACGATCCATCTGTATGTACCCTCCGGTGGAGAATAATATTTTTCTCAACCTCCGTTTATCAAAGAAATTTTAAATATTAGACCCCGAACTGTGGTACGCTTCAATTGCCATTTAGGCGACAGTCTTATACTCACTGTTAATCGCCTTGAGTTTGTTCTCACAGTGAGTAGTTGCTTAATCTGTAATAACGCTTCACTGGGAAAATCGATTTAGTGTAATGAGGGACCAGTTCCAGCGTTATAGTCGTCGTCGGGCTCGTGGCACCCAAACCACAGGTGATAACATGTCTCATCTTTTAATCCAGATCCAATGTACTATTAGGTACTTATGTCCAAAACCAGGTTGTAAGCGGCACGCGAAGCGGGTTGGAATTCATTTTTCGTCACTTTGCCCGCATCCAAGATTGTCTCGTCGTCAGATCCAGGTGATTTAGGGAAGAGTGAGTGTGGTTGATGCGGTGTAAGTCTGCCTCATCACGAGCGAGGCACTGCCATTGCGGTCATTCCCGTAAATGCAGCATCCGAGACTCTGGGATGAATGTGGATTAACCCACAAACTGTCTCCAATCCACTGCCCAACAGCGATAAATCACGAGTTCGGATATGTAAAATTGAACAAATGAGACCCTTCCAGCTGCAAATTGTGCAGTTCAGTACAGTTCAGTATTACCAAATCAAACATAAGTAAACTTTTTTGAACTCCCATTGCCTAGCCAGTGTCTAATAAAAAGCATCGATGTATAAGGAGAATTGAAAAAGAGTTTATTTATGCAATCGCATGTGAACGCCAAGCCATCGTCGCCGCAAAGTCTAAAGAGTAAACATTAACGATTACTCATTTATTGTTAGTAGTGTGATCGCACGTTATTGCAGTACTCTCTGCGTGGTTCGTGCGCACCTAGTAACGGGGACGCTTGTTGGGTGGAAAGAGCAGCATCCGCAGGCAGAGCGTTCCACGCTGCAACCGCGCGGTTTCTGAAGAAAAACTTGCGCCCATCGATCCTTGCGGAAAGTGGGCGTGCTAAAACAGTCGCAGCCGTGCAGGCCATTCAGAATGCGGAATGAGGTCCACTCGTAGTTGCCCGTAGGGAAGGCGAAATAGGCTGAGGGTTGACAGTCAGTTTTCTCAGTCAGTG